AAAAAAAAAAAAAAGAAATATACTTGAAACTTATTTTTCCTCACCACCGTTTTCAGATATCCCAATTATATATTAATTATCTCTACGTCCAAGGGAAATTGAACAAAAGCCAATTATCTCAAACCAACTCTACCATTTCGAAAATTCGTTCCTCCTCCTGAATAACTAACCTCTTTGTTCGCCAAAGGAAACCGGGCATTCTTCTCGACGACCGATTTATTTTCAGGTGTATCCCACCGATACCAAATGACTCATCATCAGGAATATCAAACGGAGGGAACTAGCGGCGGTCAACAGCATCCAATTCTGGGCCATATGGAGGCCGCAATGGCCAGCACAGCGGAGGAGGAACAGCAGCAGACGCTACAGCTGGAGAAGTACTTCAAGTATTCTCATCCGACAAGCGTAGCTCACACCAGCCTCACCTCGCAGAATCTACTCGACAGCAATCACAATTACGCCAGTGATCTGCGTTACTATACACCTCAACAGACTCAACTAGATATGTCGAACTCTCAGTGCATCGTTGATGATCAGACCAAGGATGCTCGATGTTCAAACGTGGGTATAGCTCATGGGATGGAGCAATATCATCAGGCTATGGACGTGGCAAAATATCCGGAACATCAGCAACAGCAGCAGCAACAACAACAACAGCAGCCCCAACAGGCTCAACAGGCTCAACAGCCGCAGAATATCGAGCATGTTTCCAAGGCGGATGATGATTTCAGTGTAATACTTGCAGATGTGCGCAAAACTTGTTATAGTAGCTAGTGTTTCGGATAGATCAGAAATGTTTAGAAAAACACTGAGATATATTTGATATTCGCCGTTCTAGTTTTGATTTTACGAAGACCTTGATGTTGATTATAGGTCTGATCGATGTGGAAGATGGTCGTGCGGTTATTGTCATAGTAGATGTCGCAAATATTGGTTACTTGAGCAAGGATGAACCTTATTGTGTTGCAGCAGGACGAGAATGAAAGAAATGTGGTAATTTTTATCGCAAACGAGCGATAATCAAATTTTTTGTTAATTTTTTTATTAATAAATAATGCTATAAATATCGATAATCCGGTAAAAAAAATAAATCCCATAGATTTTTCGAAAAATATTTTATAAAAAACATAATAGAACTCTTTTTTATTTCAAAACAATTGGGTTCTATAAAATACATTAGAGTAGTATTTTCTAACTTTTATTAAGTTGTGTTATTAACTCTTCATAAGGTAAGAAAAATTAATTTATTGGAATTCTAAACTTTTAACCAATAATATATAATTCTATTTAATTATCAGAATTCTAATTTTAACTTTTTTTCAAATTCTTGAATTTTGTAGAATTATTATAATTTCAAACTTTTGTTCGCATGTACATTCCAAATGTACGAGGAATATGAAAGAAGAAATATTAGTTATTTAAAAGCAAAAGTGCCTTTGAATATTTAATACTTGTGGTGTCTACTATGCTAAACAATCTTCGACTTTAGAGAAAATATAGAATTGTACGGTAAAATGATCTAAATCTTTTTGAAACAGGCGATTTATCTCTTATGGCTGTAGAGAAAAAGTTAGGTGCTAGCGTCTACGAAGAATCCGGTGCTTATACACATTTTTGTACACACTTCCGGTGCTAATGCTCTTGATAACGAGATATAATTAAGGTTGCAAGGAATTGGTAGTAAATTAATTTTAGCATGTTTAGTATTTCTATTTTCAATGAGCAATATTAAGAAGACTACACGTGCACATATCTGTGAATTTCTATTTTCTTCTTCTTGAAAAGAGGTTAGATGAACTAATAGAAGAGAAAGTATGGAACACAATAATTTGAACATGTTTGCGTTAGGAACAATTGTTATTTGTTACAAACGACCTGGCAACTGTCAACGTGTCTGATTTGAGGTAACGAAAATAAAGTAGGAAGCATTCTTGACTCTCCGGGTTTCGTTTAGCGAGCCAAATAGTACGCAACACTTTCAAAAGCATTTTTTCATGGATATTTTTGATGTTTATTATTTTATCATTGCTTAACTGCTATTAGTTATTAGCTGAGAATCTAACCTTTACGCTTCGACATTTAAAAATCAGTATATAAACACTTAATTAATATAAAATCCAATTTTAATTTATTAATATTTTTTTTAATTAGATTTAATAGATAATTTTTAAGATCAAAATTCTTATTTATGTTAGTAATATAAAGATATAAATTAAAAATTAAAAAATTATTTTTATATTAAGAATATATGAGAATATTATATGTTGTGTATAGGTTAGGTCTCAACTAATATGCAATATGCAATCAAATATGCAATAAAATCATTTGATTATTCTTTATCAATTTATATTTTTTAATACATACCAATGTTTTATAAATGTATTATAAAAAAATCTGTTTTATATATATATATATATATCAATTCCTTGCTACCTCATACTTTTTATTTTAAATTTTCGCAATTATACCTCGTAATGTTTTATTTAATGGAACTAGACGATTTATTTTGAATAAATCGATCAAAACATCGAATCTCTTCACTTACATACGAAGGGATTTTTTTACGTGATCAAAAAACGTGATATGATATAAAATATAAAAAAAATCTAAGATATTATTATTTTTAAACTTTCAAAAACCGATTTAATTTAATCCTTACGATTTATAGAGATTTAATGTAATTTCATTTTATTTAATTTATGTACGATCACCGATAAATTAAGATAACGTTGTGACAGAATCGTTGAAGATCAACGGCATTATTGTTGAGCTATTTTTATCCACCTGTGCACTCATGGTACAGCATGGCACTGTATATTTAGAGCATACCTGCATATTTCACCGTCGGAAATAGATCGAATTTAATTTTTTCGTAGCGAATTAAATGACGTATCGGTTTCTCGTAGCGATTGATCCTGGTTTCAGTGGCAAGCTACTTAAGAAAAAAAAAAAGGATAGAATTACATCGTTTCTCATGTATTCATTTATGATTACGGAAACGAAGTCCATTTTTTTTTTTTTTTAACGTTACAAACAATTTAGTCATTCTATTTATGACACACATTTCAAAAAATTGGGATACTTAATATAAATAAAAAAGAGATATATATATACAGAGTGTTTCAGATAACTAGGCAAAGTTCATCACCATGAAACGGTAAGAGATAAATGAAAATTTCAAGAAAAAAATTAATTAATTTTAAATAATGCATTTTTTATGTGTATTTTTTCATATACAATGTATTATACATATATAATTATTATATTATATAAAATATATAAATGTAATATATATTATAAATCTATTATACACATTATATAAAAATGAATTGTTTTATTCGACACTCTTATTTTCTATAAAAAATATTAAATAAATTGTATCTAAAAATAATTAATTCTTTCAAAAAATATTTTAATTAAAATTTTGCAAAGCTTTATCATATGAAAGATGTTTTATATATTTCCTTGGCTTCTATATATTAAAATTTGCAAAATTTTCAAAATAATTCATTTTTTAAATTAATAAATTTTCAATCTAAAATTATATATATATTTTTTTAATATTTTAATATTTTTTTTATAGAATATGAAAATTGTCTGCATTGATAAGCGGACAAAAAATATATTAATTAAAAAAAAAAAAATGAAAATGATTATGAAATCATCGAAACATGATCATTCAATTTTTATATAATGAAATATTTTTTTATCTTTTGCTATTTCAAAACTATGATCTGACCCAATTGCATGAAACAGCCTGTATATAACTCTCACTCAAAAGTCTTAAGATATTTATTGAAAAAATTAAGAAATCATATTAATTGATATAGAAAGTATAAAATGGATTACAATTAACGAAAACAATTTTTATTTTTTTAACAAAAAAGCAAATTATTGATATTAAAATTTTATTAAAAATTAATATCATAAGACTTTTGAACAATTGTATAATATATACGTATATATATATATATTTATATATATTTATATATATATGTATATTATATATATATTTTTTTTATGGTGATAATTTAGAATCTTCTGTGAAACTTATTATACTTATTTAAAAGAAAAAAAGACGATATTATAAGGTACCTTGTTTTTAATAAGTGTACGAGATTTTTTTTTTCTCTAAGCCTCCTCGTTAGCGATTTTACATGTGTATAAGCACGATCTCCTTACTTTTTTCTGTTTCAGATGACTGAACAAAATTCTCGCTGTATATGTATTATA